GCTGCAGCCTCTCCCGCCCCGCCTGCAGCTGGGGAAACCCCTGGCAGCCGCCCAGCCCGGGCAGTTCGGGGAGGGGTTGCAGCAGGTCCCTGGGCGTCTCTGCCTGGGTTGGCTGCAGCGGGGCACGCGAGGAGGCGCGCGCTGCTTTCTCCTGCTCCTCGGCTGCACCGCCCCCCGGCCCGCCCGCGAATGGAGTGCCCAGCTTGTAGCTGCCACCCCCCCGCCCAGAGCTGGCTGCAAGCCAGAGCTCCCTGGGGTGTTCTCATGGGAAGCTGCAGAGCTGGTCAGGAGGCTGACTAGCTCCGCTGCTTTTGTTGACATTGCCCCGCTTTTTAAATTGTGAGCAGCTGGGCAAACTTACACCATTGTTTTAATCAGGGTACTTGGGGGTGGGGGGAGATTTTTAACTCAGGTTCTGAAAATGTAGTAGGGACGCATCTTAAGTAGAATGTACTTCTGGATCTTGTTGAGATTAAATTTGCTATATGCATGTGTGTTTAGTTACACCTTCTTGGAAGCTTAAACCAAAACTATCTGTTTTGATCTCTGTCCCATTCTAATTCAGTAGAAATTTGAGCCCAAGTAAAGTGAATGGAGTCAGGCTTGGCTTTGACCTGGCTGTGTTGCTCAGCCCTGAAAAATTCACACCCCAAGTCACATAGTGGTGTTGACCGCGTTAGGATAACAGAACAATTCTTACCGCCTCTGGGAGAGGAAGATTAACTACAGCAATAGGAGACATTCCCCATCCCCCAATGATTTACCAGGAGAGGAGGAGGGATTTGAGCTTAATTAGTCTCCAGACGAGAAGATGAGCAGGGATTTGATAGTAGCTTTCAAGTACCTGAAGGGAGGTTTGGAAGAGGATGGAGAGAGGCTGTTCTCAGTAGTGACCGATGGCAGAACGAGGAGTAATGGTCTCAAGTTGTGATGGGAGAGGTCCAGGAAAAACTATTTTACTAGGAGGGTAGTGAAGCACTGGAATGAGTTACCTAGGAATCTTCATGCCTAGAGTTTTTTAACTCCTGACTTGTCAAAGTCCTGTCTGGGATGATTTAGTTGGGGTTGGTCCTGCTTTGGGCAGGGGGTTGGACTTGATGACCTTCTGAGCTCTCTTCCAGCCCTGGGATTCTATGATTGTATGAGTGTAAGTGGTGTCCATAGTGACGTGCTACAGTGGCACAGCTAGAGTATTTCAAGTGTAGACAAAATGCCAAATGTTCGATTTTCTTAGCCTTTGTAGCTGTAACACTCTTAGGAGCTGAGTTTTATAGCTGTTGAATGCAGAGGCAGCTACCATTGAAGAGCGTGGTAAGATCTTAGCGTCTTTGAAATTCAGGCCTTTAATATTTTTGGATGACTCATCTTCATTTGATGACTAGTGAAATCTTAGGTGCTTAAAATAAAATGTTTAGCATATGAGCATGCAGCTTCTTTCTGAAGCTTCAGAATCTGTTGTTCTTACTGGGAGGGAGAGGTGAGGAACTGTTTATTTTCATCTGTTTCACATTGCCTTACTTCACAAAAATGTCTTGAGTGTGAATATGTGCTGGAAATGCTTCTTATAAAGCTTAGGCCTGGTCTACACTAGCGATGTTAAAATGCATTTAGTTAAGTAATTGTGTAACTACTGAAAACTTCAGTGGTTACATGGTTATGCGTAGGAGGGTAGGTAGTTCATGCCTGCCACCTTGCACTGCTGCCACTGTATCAGGATTAAGTGATAAATGCTAGCTACAAGAAGACATCTAAATGCTCCAGGAGGCCTGATTCTGTACTCTCCTACATGTAACCATCAAGTTATCCAGTGAGCCTAGGCATGTCACTTCAGGAATGCTGGGCCGAAAAAACTATGTGGATGGAAACCCTGCACATGGGCAATGGTAAACAAAGTGTCTGGTGGATCATATGGAGAACCCCAGTGGGCTGGATGCGGTCCATGGGCTGCAGATTGTCCACCACTGCACTACAGCCTTGCTTCCACCAATGTACATGCCCTGCTATAGCAACATAATTACTCCATCTCCACAAAAGGCGTAGGACTTGTGTTGGTGTAGCTAGGGTGACGTAGTGTCCATGTAGATTATGGGTTATTTAGGTCAGCTGTTGGTTGTCATTGTCAATTTCACAGCTTCATGCAGGAGCTGGAAAATAAACAAGAAAACTGCTCACAAATCATGCTGTTACCCCAAGGCGAGAGGGTGGGCTTCAGCTAGAGCCTTTCTGCCCACCATGCTCTTAGGGTACGTCTAGACTACCGCGTTTTGTCGACGGAAGTTTTGTCGACAGATACTGTCGACAAAACTTCCGTCGACAATTTGCGTCCAGACACATGGAGTTCTGTCGACAAAGCAAGCTGCTTTGTCGACAGAACTCCGTAGTCTGGACGCAACGTTACAGGCAATAACACCTTCTGTTGACAGAACTCTGTCGACAGAAGGTGTTTTGCCTCGTAAAATGAGGTATACCAGTGTCGACAAAACCGCGGAGTTCTGTTGACGTTATGTCGACAGAACTCCGCGGTAGTGTAGACGCTGGTATTGTTTTGTCGACAAAAGTCCACTTTTGTCGACAAAACTAGGTAGTCTAGACACACCCTTAGTTACTTGCTCTCAGCCAGGCTCGTCCTCAGGCTCAGAGGTCAGAGCCAGGCTGCTATTATATCCTGGCTCCTTGCTTCCAGCAGGGGCTGCTGCCCAAGGTCCCTACTCACCTTCTGTACTAAATCTGATTTGTGAGTTAATAATGTGTTCACTTTTTTCATTGTATTCCTTTGCTATATATGGTCATGCCAGTTCTCTTCCAGAATATGATCTGAGGAAGTGGGTCTGGCCCATGAAAGCTCATCACCTATTAAACCATCTTGTTAGTCTTTAAAGTGCTACATAGTTTTTCCTTTTGTTTCCCCGTGTTGTTTCATTGACTTTTGTTTCTTCCCTAAATACCATCTAGTTGCAAGTTTACACTCTAGAATGTTTTGCAAGACTTGCATATGCCTTGTCCCTTTTCTTTTTTCCTTCCACCTATACGCTACATCTACACTGGCACCTACTTGCGCAAGAACTGCTTTGCGGAAGAGTTCTTGCACAAAAAGTCTTCCACAAGAGCATGTCTATATTACTGGCATGTGCTTTTGTGGAAGAGATGTGTTTTTGTGCAAGAGCGTCTGTGGCAGTGTGGATCCTCTCTTGCACAAGAAAGCTCTGGTGGCCATTTTAGCCATAGAGGTTTCTTGCACAAGAAATTCATGTTGCCTATCTACACTGCCCTCTTGCGCAAAAGGGCTTATTCCTCGTGGGGAGAGAAATAACACTTGCGGAAGAAGCCCTTTTTTCCGATGCTAGACTGTAAATTTACTTGCACAAGAACGTGCGTGCAGTGTAGACACCCGGCAAGATTTTGTGCAAGAACAGCTGCAAGAACAGTGTAGACGTAGCCATAATGTCTACATTCATTCACAGAATGTTGCAGGATGATTTTCAGTAATTAATATTTGTGATGGCTCCTGTTGTTATTGGTAAGCCAGCTATGATAGGTACAGTTCATTATGATCACACGAGTCACTGGATTTTGGATTTTGATATTGAAAAATTAATATCCAAAGTTTTCCACTGAGAGATCCATTTTTGCAAAAAAAAAAAAAAAAAAGTAATTTAGTTGACAATACAATTGTCCTTCAAAAAATGGTTAAGATGTCAACTTTTCAATAGCCTGACTTCCACTTTCAACAGCATTTGTCTGAACTAAAGCTTTTCTGGCTCTAGGAAATGACTAGTTGACAGGGTTTTTTTATGTGCTGCTATACATGTAACATTAATGTATTACATAGCTTTCACAAAGTGTTCTCAGAAATTCAGCTCTGCAATGTTTTGGCTTTTTTGCCAAAATAAAATTGTACATATTTTCTGTCTGTTACTTAATTCTTGAAATTTCATCGTACTGCAGAAACAATGGCAAACAGTATTTTAAATGTCGCTGTGACTCATGATTATTTAAAAATTAATTAAAATTAAGAATTGATTTATAAATTCAGGGATAAGTTCTCATATTAATCACCCATTTTACTTGTATGGGTAAGGAAAGTTTTTCTTTTTTCTTTTTTTTCTTTTTTTTTAATTTATAGCTTATATATGATAGCTTTGCCCGGTACCTGGTAACTGAGAAGGGGTATGATAAAGGCTTGCTGAATATAACTCCAGAAAGCTGGGACTTTTGGTAAGTATTGTTTAAAAGTTTCTTATTTCCTTGATTCCACAATTTTTGTGAGGCTGGGAAAATAACTTGTATTACTAAAGAGCTGTTATGATTGTGAGACCCAGCAAAGAACCTATCTCAAGTTCCTAAATCATTTTTTAAAAGTCAAATTATATTGAATGACACAATTCCAAAATAATAAATGGCAGAGCTGGTTAAAATTTTCTTAATTTAAAGGTTTCAAAAAATTTGAAAAAAACATTAAATTAAAATTCTCTCCTTTTGAAAAAGTTGAGATTTGTCAACCAGCTTTAATAAATTCTGAGCCATTACATATAGATTTTACAAAAACTAGTAAATATTATCCTCATTTTATGGTGGGAGAAAACTAAATTGCATAGAATTTAATTGACTTTCTCATAGTGTTGCAGCAAGTAAATTGTGGTTTTAGAACCCTAGGCATAAGCTTTTTTGTCAGTGTCATCACATGTGCATGTCTTAAATTTCTTCCACTCTTAATATTTTTCATTTGTGAACAGGCAAGATACTGACCTATATTAAAAACCTGGATCTCTTGGCTCTAGATTAGCCGTTTAAAACGTGTTCCAGTTCCAAAGATAAAGGCAATGTAATATGTATGCACTTACTGGTGAATCAAAACAATAGCTAATATAGTTTTCATTTTAGGTCTAAAAGCTAATATAGTGTTTTCAGTGTGATTACTTTTTAATATGATCCTATTTCAGATAAAATGTTGTTTGGTTTATTCATTTACAATGTTAGCATTTGGAGTGAGATATCTATATTTGGAGTACCGTCTTTTAGCTAATATTCCCCGCTCCCAAATATACCCCGTGGTTTTTGCTTTTTGAGTTAAAAAAATCTTGTATACCCTGCACATGAGTATAACCCGCAGGATATACAAGGCTTTGCCGGGGGTATATTTATGGTGGGGGAAAAGGGGGAAATCAGCCAGCCACTCACCGCCCGGATCCTGTGCAGCGGGATGAGCACTCCCCCTGCTCCTTCCTACGGCTGCGGAGGAATCAGGCAGTGAGCGCTCACCGCCTGGAATCTGGAGGCTGGAGACTGTGCAGGAACCGGGCGGGGGAGTGCTCACTGCTCGGTTCCTGCACAGCCGGATGAGCTCTCCCTCTGCCCCTTCCTACAGCTGCGGAGGAATCGGGCGGTGAGCGCTCCCCCGCCCAGAGGCTGGAGGCTGCGCAGGAACTGGGCCGGGGAGTGCTCACTGGCTGGAGGCTGCGGAGGAACCGTGCTGTGAAATGGTGTGTAAAAAAAATTTGGTATACCCCACACCCGAGTATACCCTGTGGGGGGAGGAGGGCAGGAGTTGTAAAAACGAATATAACCCACAGGTTATATTCACTAAATTATGGTAGTCTTTTCATCTCAGTGTTACTTTTATATACAGGCAGTCCCCGGGTTACGTACAAGATAGGGACTGTAGGTTTGTTCTTAAGTTGAATCTGTATGTAAGTCGGAACTGGCGTCCAGATTCAGACACTGCTGAAACTGACCACCAGTTCTGACTTACATACAGAATCAACTTAAGAACCCCAGGCGTCCCCAAGTCAGCTGCTGCTGAAACTGATCAGCAGCTGATTCCAGGAAGCCCGGGGCAGAGCAACTCTGCCTGGGGCTTCCTGTAGTCAGCGCTGGTCAGTTTCAGCAAAAGCTGACTTGGGGATGCCTGGGGCAGAGCAGTTGGGGTGCTGCTGGGTTGCTCCAGTAGCGTCGCTCCTCGGTGCTACTGGACCAACCCAGCAGCACCCCATCTGCTCTGCCCCACGCGG